TGCTGCTGCTGCTGCTGCTGCTCGTGGTGCTGATGCTAGTGCTGCGCCTCCTGCGGCGACAGTCAGCGGAAGGACCAGCAGCAACAGCAGCAACAGCTGCAGCAGCGTTTACTGTAGCAGCACCAGTAACAGCAGCAGCAGCAGCAGCAGCAGCAGCAGGAGGGCGTTGAGCCCTAGCCTGCTGTGTTCCTCCGTCTCTGGGGTGTATTAGGAGGGGTCTAGGGTTTAGGGTTTAGGGTTTAGGGTTTAAGTTTTAATTTGTTTGTTCCGTTGCATGTACTTATTGCTCCTTGTCTTCTCGTTTGGTTGTTTGTTTATTGGCTGCTTCTCTTTCTTTCTTTCTTTCTGTTGTCGCCTTGGGGTGTACAGGCACCTCCTCATGAGGTGTATGTACACCGCAGCAATTCAAATTTTGTATTTTCATATTTTCTCCTGCAGCATCTAAAGCCGCAATCATCACAACAGCAGCAGCAGCAGCAGCAGCAGCAGCAGCGACAGCAGCAAACAGCAGCCGCAGTAATAGCGCTCGGGGTTGCTGCTGCTGCATCAGGGGGCCCCCTCGCTGCAGCAGGCCAAGGGGGCCCCCCCTCAGCCTTATACTTAAGCCTGGGGGGGGCCCCCTGGGGCCCCCATCAGTCTTATACTTAAGCCTAGGGGGCCCTCGCTTGTATAAGCGACCCTCCGCTTGCACCCTGGGTGCTCCCTAGGGGCCCCTCTAAACCCTATGGCGACACCTGCCCATCGGTTCCCTCAGCTATACTTGGGGGCCCCCTGGGGGCCCCCTCGGGGGCCCCTTGGGGGCCCCTTGGGGGCCCCTCGAGAGCCTCTTGTATGCCTCTTGAGGGGCCCCCGGGGGCCCCTTAGAGACCTCTTGGGGGGCTTCTAATGGCCTATGGGGGGCCCCTTCGGGGCCCCCAAGAGGAGCTCTTGGGGGCCTCCTGGGGTTTGTTAAGTGTAAGAGGAGGGGGGCCCCTTGGGGGCCCCCAAGGGGCCCCCTGGGGGCTGTGTGCTGCGTGAGCTGTACCCTGCAGGGGCCCCCATGGCGACTCTGGGGATCAAGCCACCTTCCGTCCGTTGTTTTTCCGTCTTAAGAACGAACTTTTATTTTGTTTAATTAAATTAAATTAATTTAATTTAATTAATTTAATTAATTTAATTTATTTTATTTATTTTATTTATTTTGTTTAGTTTGTTAGTTTGGTTTCTTCTATTTCAGCAACTGTCTTAGCTGGCTCGCCTTTTCTTCTCTCGCAGCAAAAACCGCCGTATTCGGCTTGCTGCTGCTGCTGCTGCTGCTGCTGCTGCTTCTGCATGCAGTTCAACAACCCCTCTACCCCACACTAAAAACCCTAAACCCTAAACCCTAAACCCTAGTTAGAGTTTAGTGAGAGCGGACACAGTTAGCAGCGCCCGGTTTCGGGNAAACCCTAAACCCTAAACCCTAGTTAGAGTTTAGTGAGAGCGGACACAGTTAGCAGCGCCCGGTTTCGGGGCGTCTGTGGAATTCGCTGGCGAGCGAATTCAGAAAACGGCAACATAGCAAACAGGATAGCTAGCTAGCTAGCTGGCTAGCTAGCTAGCTGGCTAGCTAGCTATCTGGCTAGCTAGCTATCTGGCTAGATGAGCAACTGGCTAGCTAGCTAAGAGGAGAAATTGTTGCTCAGTGGAGCTTGGTGTTTACACTGCGCGGTGTATGTACAGCTACTGAATAAAATCTTGAGAGGGGTGTATGCACAGGTCCGAGCGCCGCTGGTGCTGCTGCTGCTGCTGCGGCTGGAAATCAGTATAGGGTACGGGGTCATCTGTGGCGTTTCTTTGTATTGATTGTCCTGTGTGTTGCTGCTGCAGTTCTCCTGTGTGCTGCTGCTGCAGCTCTCCCGATTGCTGCTGCTGCTGCTGCTGCATTTCACCGGATTGCTGCTGCTCAATATCACCAGCTTGCTGCTGCTGGTCTTCTGCTGGCTGCTGCAGTGCCTGCTGCTGTTCGCCGTCTGCTGCTGCTGCCTTCAGTGCTGTCACTGCTGCTGCGATCATGCTTATGCCGTATACAATAGAACACAGCACCCCGACGCAGAGAAACGTCAGCACAAGGTGCAGCACGCCCGCATGCAGCAGCAGCCGCTTCTGTGTAGCGATGCCGCAGACTATAGCCCCGGCGCCAAAGGGAAGCAAAATGTTTGCTATTCCCCCAGCGAGGTATACATATCCTACAGATGCATTTTCAGCAGGAGGCGCCTGCAAGCAGCACGCACACAGAGAGCCACGCGGTGTCTGTCTGTACACCCCAAAGAAGCTACATGAACACGAACCCGATGAAACTTCTGCAGCTTCAGTTGCTCAACAAAAACAGAATTTCAAGTGGAAAGCGAGCATTAAAGGCCGGGATTCCTGCGGTCACTGTCATGTGCTGGATGCGGCTGCAGATGCAGTGAGACATTCTCTCTAGGTGGGCGTAGATTCGTGTATAAATAAGAGGTTAAATAAATAAAAATTGGGTTTCAAAAGGAATTAAA